GAACCCTAACTGCTATCGAAACTGCATCGAAGATAGTTAGTACTTCACGAAATGACATCCTCGCTGTACTAGATGCTGTGCAGAAGGAGTACAATGAAACTAAAAAAGCAGAGAAAAAGGAATTTCTGGAAGAATTTCAAATAATGGAAAAGGAAATTCAATTCGAAAAAGTGCTCCAAGAAGCAGATGCCCTTCTCACTGCATTCACAACACGACAGGGAGAAGTTAAATTTGAGAACTCTTCTGCTATGAAAAAGCTCAACTTGGAATATTCCCCAGTAAAGCGCGAGAATGACGTATTTCCTGCTGATCTCCTAGAAACCGCAGCTCCATCTGCATTCCATAACATACAGCGGGACGGACAAAGCGTAGAACATGCGTCACAAGTTTCCGACAAATCAGCGAGCGCTGGAGATATCCGTAATCAGCAAAGAAGATCAGAAGAGATTGAAACATCCTCAAAACAACATCAAGAGATACAGAAGCATAACGGAAATGCTCCGCGAAATCAAAGCTGTAACGAAAACAAACAAGGATCTCAGTCAGCTATCCAGCCTCCAAGAATTACAATCCCTCAGTTTTCAGGAAACTTGGAGGACTTCCAGGAATACTGGGCTGTCTTTGAAGTCATGGTTCACCTCAATGCCAACCTAAATGAGACAGAAAAAATGCTTCTCTTGAAAGAAAGTCTAGTCGGCAAAGCAGCCACCACAATAAAGGGAATCAAAATGATACCCCAGAACTACTCATGGATGGTGGACGTTATAAAGAAGAAGTATGACAATCTCACCAACACACGTGCGAATGTGATCAAAAGATTAATAGCTCTCAGTCCCGCAAAAGACAGTGCAAAATCTTGCGAGACAATTTTCGATAACATCCGCTCACTAATAAATGAAATGACCTCATCGGGGTATAACATCTGCAAGACCCAAGACCCCATGTGGATAGAAACAATCTTGAAGAAGTTTCCCCGACAAGTTGTGGAAGAATTCTTACGAGAAGAAAAGAACGGTCAGGCATGTACCGTTGGGGAAGCTCTTGACAGATTAGAAGTAGTGATACTGCGGAACGCGTATATTTCAGAGCGGCTTGGCCATCAAAATCAAGACCAAGTTAATGCCTCCACTCGAATGTCAAAAATGGAAACACAGATGACATGTTTCTGCAACTTCTGCACAAGGTCGAACCATTGGTCTCATCAATGCCGAACGGTGAAAGAGGCAACTGATCGGAGGAAAATCGCCGTGGACAAAAACCTCTGCTGGAAATGTTTCTCCAAAGAGCACAAAAGTAGTGAACGTAATCGACCTAATTGCAGGCGTTGTGGGAAAATGCATGATGATTCGCTTTGCTTGCAAAGGCCTACCAAGGCTGAGACGGATAAAGCCCAAAACAGCAAAAAATCAACGGTCCAAAACACTTTCTGTGCAAGCCAAAGCACCACTGCGGTCGAAAGGTGGGATGACTGTACAGCTGCATTGAAAACAACAAGCATGTTGCCCTCCCCATCCAACACGGTAGGTGCATCTTCGTCAGTAGTACATCAAAATGATCACCAAAGAGAATTCATTAGGAATATTGCCGGAGAACAGATTGTGCTCATGACCGCGGAAGGGCTCGTTTGGAACTACTCATCTAGCTCCTATGAAAGAGCATTATTTTTTTGTCGACACCGGGGCCCAGGTGAGTCTAACTCCTGGAAAGGGCCGCTGAACACCTGGCCTTGCCCGTTGTCAAAACAGAAGAGTGTTCACTTTCAGGAATACGCGGAATATCAAGGCGCTTCTGTCTCACCATGTAGTTTTGCGTAACCAAACTGCCCAAGGAACAGAAATGCTGTTCACAGTGAAAACCAAACCAATTATAACCACAGGTTTCCCATCAATTCATCTTGCAGAACGGGACACATTGTTCATGGAAGAGTATGGTATATATCTCTCGAATACACGCATGCGGGGAGAACATCAATACCCTCATGTGTTGACAGGGCTCGATCTATACAGTTCGTTTGTCTATGAACATCATCCCCCTATGCAATTGCCTACAGGCTCCGAGTA